GAGTTTCTGGGCAGTATGACCCCAAGTTTATTTTATTTTAATTTAGTCAGTTGAAGTGTACTAAGGAATAAGGATTGGTCAGAACATTAGGACAATCCTGCTTTTAAGATGTATTACATTAATAAGTCATCACAATGCTAATGAACAGAGTTGTGATAATTAATTTACATATTTCTTTCCAAGTTATTTTAAAGTAAACTATGTTTCTGTTGAATGAAAAGTTTGTTACTACAAGGTGGAATTTTAGTCAAAATTATAATAATGTAAACAAAAACAAATCTATGATAGAAAGATTTCTGGGTGAAGAATTTCTAGGACAATAAGTATTGTCAACACCATGAACATTATTTGAAGAATTATTATAAAACTTCATGGTTGATAACACATCCTTTGAATGAGACTTATAAGTAGTGTTGATATATTTCAGTTAGTGAGAGCCTACTGAATATTCAAATTAAATACTATGATTGTAAAGTACTGATACAATCATCACTAGGTGGTATTAATGGTATAGGAATGTAATTCATGAATACAAATGACCTAAAGATTTTAAGGTGGCTGGAAACCATATGATTCATGGAAATATAATTGGACAGGATATTATAGTAATACATGTATTAGTACTTAAGTGATATCAGGTATTGAGAATGAAAATACTATGCTATATGTATCTGTAGGAGTATGATAGTGATACACAGTTATTATTTAGAAAGTTACGATCTTGATTTTGTTGTCTACAAAGACATGACTGTACCTGAGCAGGTAGATCTTTCTGATTGCTTTATTGTTTATTGGATCAACATTTGTAAATATTTTATTTTATTCATTTATTATTGTTATATATATGTATATATTATGTTCAAGTAGTTATGATGTAACATGGATATGGATATCAATACATAGCTGAAACAGAGGGAGTTTGAAGTAAAGTAAGCAGTATGAGGTATAGAAACTCGACCTTCCAAGAACTCTCATATAATAGAAAGTTGTGACTACATCGTGTTCTATGCTCAATGAATGTGATACGAGTGATGTATGAATGGACAGGTTAGTGACATTGTGTTATGGTTTTAAAACAAACCATAAACAGAGAGAATGTAGAATATTGCATATTCTATGTTTCTATTGATTATATATATATATATATGGATGTGTGGATTGACATAAGTAACAGATGGTATAAGTCACAAGGCTTTCTTTGTCCGAGAGCTCTGGAATGTGGATTTGGGGGTTTTGTCCTTATATGGCTAGAGTTAAATGCTGACGTTAATATGAGCACATCTATATAGGAACAGAGGGACACGAGGTCAGGCTGTCTTGGCTCTGGGCTTTCTGTCTCTCTCTCGATGTAAAGATGTAAGGATGTAAAGGAGTCCAGCAATTACCATCTGCTGTTGAATGTCCATTATCCTGTAACATCATTTGTTGTTTTATTATGTATCCGTAACTAAGAATAAACCTGAAGAAACCGTAAGTCAGATTGCGTATTAGTACTTTTCAATAATATAGACATATATTATCGTGGCGAGCATTTGGCCCAAGACTATATATACAAAAGACGTATATCTATATCAATCAACTGAAGACAAGAAGAAATTAAGAAGATTTAACAGTGACGATTCCAACCAGATTTTACATAAACAGTTTGGGATCAGGCTGTGTGGTGTTATTAACTAACTAGCAAGATACTGGGGGGGGGGGAGGGGGGTTAAAGGGACACACAGAGGGGCTGAGGGGGATAAAGAGACACACAGAGGGACTGAGGGGATAAAGAGACACACAAAGGGGCTATTGGGGGGCAAAGAGAAACACAGAAGGGCTGGGGGGACAACAAAGGCACAACAGAAGGGGGGATAACAGAAGGGCTGGGGTGGACAAAGAGACATACAGAAGGGCCGGGGGAACAAAAAGGAGATGGGGAAGGAAACAGCGACAAACAGAGAGGCTGGGGAAGGGGAAAGATAGGTCCACAAAGTAGCTGGTTTTGCCTACAAAAAAGTCTAGCACCTACCCTGTCCAGCCATTACAATTCAATGAGATGGAATGGTTATAGTGTCTGGCATATCTCCCTACATTGCATACCTCAGAACCAAGACAGGAGGCTCGCCCTGAAGGTATTATCACCAGTAAACACAAACTGCGTCACTGGCGACACCCATAAGGGTCTAGCCCACCGGGAAAAGAGGTGAACCACCTGCTAAAGGAGCGTGTCTGCCTAGCAGTAACTGGAGTCCCAGTTTTAGCATCAATAAATGCGTACTGTTCACTTTAACCCCTTAAGGACCAAACTTCTGAAATAAAAGGGAATCATGACATGTCACACACCCGGCTCAGTTCTCCTCAAATCCTGATTAACGGAGAAAAGCTGTGCGTGAGCTGGAAACTTAGAAACATAGACTGATATAATATAAACTGATATAAATCTTTCCAAGAAATTAAATCCAGTCGTAATTTTTGCTGTAAAATGCGATTTTTGTCATCCTGCAGAGATCCAGGATATTTCGCTGCCGCTGTGTTTGATGGTTTAACTTAATGACTTAAATATAACAATATGATTTGTGTCTTAAATAACGCTGGGAGCACGGAGGACACTTTATTTTGCTTTATGTTGCTGTTGTGAGGGAATATATCTTGATTTCAATGTTCGGCGTAATTAAATTAAGGCCTACATCTGATGTTCTTTATATGTAATGAACTTTTTCTCTTTAAAAAGCTGTATACGTGTCAGCATAAGTTGCGTTTCCAGTGTATTCTAGCCCCCACCGGATAACTTATTTTGAGGAGGCAGACCATAACCCTGTAGTAATAACACTGAGCATTCCAGTAACCATGACTACAGTATGTACACAGAGCCACAAGTACCATGTCTATAGCCCAGATGGGACACACACATTTAAAGGGGCAATCTACGCATCAAAACGACAAGTCAATGTAGTGGCACTAGCTATGGTGTCAAGCTTATTTTCCTCATTTCCAATATTAATCTCATTCATATTTTGCTGTCATTCATTGGCTGAGCAGGTCAGCTGACGGGTAAACCAATGAATGGCATCAAAACATGGATAAAATGGGTATTTCTAATGCGGAAATGGAACTTCTATGTTACCAACAGGCTGGCTGGTGGCTGAAAACGTCCACAAGCTAATGGCACCATAACTAATACATTGGCGGGTAATGATTATGGTAACTTTAATGCTCCTTTAAAAAAGTAATAAATTAAAGGGACACGCTAAGCACACGGACCATTTCATTACAATTTAGTGGTCTTGGTGCAGTGACTTCCGCTGTTTTCCTCCCACAATGTAAAATGTTGTCAGCGCCCCCCGACCGCCCATCAGCCCGACTGGCATGTCAGTTAGCCGCAAGGCTAACAAGACATTTGCCCTGGGCGTTTGGAAAATGCTGCCCAAGGCAAATGCCTTGTTTGCCTCGCGGCTAAAACGTCCCTGCATGTACACAAAACAAATAAGTTCCAAGTTAAGAAAGAGCAAAAAGATTAGAGAAGAGACATCTTAGGTGGGGGCTCTCTGCTCCTGGAACTAGACATATATGGTCTTAAGTGTTGTTTAAGCATCAAGCATTTCCTGAGTCCAAGTTAGCCAATTTTGATATAGGATATCATTATATGACACCTATAAGCTTGAGCCTTGGAATCAAGATAAATTCTATCACAGTCCGCACAGTGGATTTGATTTTTGCCATCAAGCATGAGCTGGCTCGGTGCCTTAGCGCTTTTCCGGGATCTCACTCTGATATGGTCGGAGATAGTCCCCCATCCCCGGGGTTTGGAGAGAGGCAGACGCAAGTTGAACATGATGGTGGCCAGATTCATGTGCCGTTTGGGAGGGATTGTGGTTTAACACGTAGAGCTCGAAGGGGATAATAGGAACCTGATGAAAAGGGACAGAGTGCATCTCAACTTGATTGGGTTGGACATTTTTTTTTACTATAAAACCAGACTCGACTCTCGTGTCATAAAACTCTCCAATTCAGGAAAGACTGAGACATTTCTCTTAAACTCATTTACTTTGGCCTAAATATTGCAAGTTGGTCCTTAAAGAGGCAGTCTACGGACCATGACCACTACAGCCCGATTAGGAATGATTTGGCATAAAATGGTTTTACCTATGCCAGCTGTATTGGTACTACTAAATGAATACTCCCGTATTATCAGTGTCAGTTTTAACTAACTACGATAGTATTGATAGGCTGGGCTATCCAGTCCTAATCAGGTTAGACGACATTGAGATTGCAAGCATGGTTACTCGGTATCACTAATGCGGCTGATGTGGAGGTGGTCTCTTAATTTGATATTAACCAGGGATGGTGCCAGCCAGCTGTAATGTTAGGTTGTTTATGGTGTGCCTTTCACTCGCTATTACTCACCATTTAGTGAATAAAGCGCACCGATTGTACAAGCATGGATCTAAAGCTATGATCCAGATATGTCCTCATTAGCATATTGAGCTGGGAATTCTGGGAGAATATTGGAAACATGATTCCTAGAGGTTGCGGTACCCAAGCCGAATTTTGTCATGTAGATGATGACACAACCGTAAATTTTCATAAACCAGTGGGGATTGTTATCTGGTCTCACCACAACTTTTATAGTGTGTTTGTGTGTTTTATAGTGTGTATATACACACACACACTATAAATGATGTGGTGAGACCCCAACTGGTTTAGTAAAATTCTGAATTGATAAATTAATTGTTGTGTCATCATATATATTTATATATTTATTTATTTTTACATAAAACTCAGAAATATTGAAGCATGTAGAACATAATGCCTTTTATCTCCTTAATGACCAGGTTTATTTTCTAAACATTATAGCACGTGCCCCACCGTATAATATGTGCAATGCTAGTTTTGGGTATCTCATGTTATTCTGTGGCTGATTATTCCCCTAGTTTGAGGCCTCCCGTTTCTGGATTGATCCTTTCAAGGTACAAGCGGTTTGCAGTTTCTTGTATGGTTCTTTAGATGGCTGTTGTGGTTTAGATAGTTGAAGCTTTTTTCAACTTGACCTTCTCATTGGCAGTCGTCAATACGTCTTCCCTCTCAGCCTCGACTTCAGTAAATTGTCCTGTGTTCCTCTGGTGAAGTGCGGTGTGCCTCATATTGTAAAGCCGCTCCTGGTATTGCAGACTATCGAGAAGTTTGTGGTTGTGTCTCTGCAGTCTGCACTTGAGCTCATACAGCAGCATATTGCGATGGCATAGTCTTGCCGCTATATCTCGTATTTTGAAATGCTCCTCTTTAACCTTCTCGATGTGAGCTTGCAGAGAAAGAATCGCCTGTTTCTTTGCTCTTCTGGACAGCCGGGCAACCTTCTTTCTGGACTCCTGGGCAAGCAGTTCCTTGTTTTTAAGAAATGTATGTTTCACCTCTCTCTCCTTGTCAATGTAAAGCTTCCTCATCTTTATTATCTCCTGGGACAGCTCCTCAATTTTGACCGTTTGCTTTGCTTCCAGGTCTTTATAAGGCTGGAGTTCCTCCAGTTTTTTAAGCACCACAGAAAGCGCATGCTCTTTGTCCATCAGTTCATTCCTCATCTCCGTCTCTTTCATCTGCAACTTCTGGACCATTTCTTCTTTCTCTCTTTTTACTTCTTGCAGTTTCCTGTGGTTGTACTCATTCAGAGAGATGGCTGCGCCATGCAATCGCTCTGCTCGCTTGGACAGGAAACCAGTAAAGCCCTTGTTCTCCCTCTCGACATTATCGGACTCTTCATTTAGGAAATCATTTTCCTCTTTTAGGCTGCTGATGGCTTTGGTCAAACAGTTTATATCTTGAGCTATGTTATTCAAATCCTCCTGCAAATACTTCTCCTTCAAGGAGTCCAACGTGGAGACACCTAGATCGCCCATGGCCAACGTTTTTGTCCTTCTTTTGGAAGAGAGGTGTCTTTTCTTTCAGTTTTTGTATTCGTAGCTGGCATGATAGTTTCACAGTCTCAGGATTTAATCCTACCTACAAAAAAACAAATATATTAGTATTTAGATTAACAGGGTAATTCAATAATGTGAGAATTCAAAGTATATTTCAAATTTAGGGTGAAAATGGTTGGACTGGAAAAACTCTGTAAGTCTTTGAGTTCGACCAATCTGGCCTAAATTTGAAGTTCACTTCGAATTCTCACTTTAGTAAATGAGCCTGTAATATATTGTTTATTCATACTGTTAATTGGTCATTAACAAACTATGCTATAAATATAAAAATAGTAATTTAGCCCCATCTCTGACAGGGTCTTTTTGATAAAGAAAAGCATTGATTTTAAAGCAGGGCTATTCGGTAAAGTGGGAAGAGGAGCAATTGCATGATGAAAGCTACATCTTAGCAAAATTAGCCCAACAGGGAGCTAGTAGATGGAATTGGAACATTTTTCATTTTTGGCTACATTTGATCTAAAAGTTAATAAAGATCAAATAAACGGTTAAGACAACAAGTTTTGTGTTCGGATTGCTGTTCAGACACACCAAAAATTATACAAAATCTGTAAACTATACAAATAATGTTGTTGTTTATTCATTTATTATTTAAATAAATATTGAGGGACTAAAAATGATAGTGTCTATATGGTATCTATCTATTAAAGGGACACTCCAGACCCCTAAAGCTTGCTGAAAAGCTTTATGTGTGAAGAGTGTCTTTTTTTTGTTGTTGTAATTTTTGAAAATGTGCATATTTCAATAGAAAGTAACACATTTATAAATGAACAAGAGGCAGCAATTCCCCAGAACACCTGCCTTGCAAAGACTTCTCATTGAGCTGCATTGGGAGTCTGTGATTGGACAATCACAGAAAATCTGGGCGGGGTTAGAAGGGGAGGGCTTGCAAAGGCAACAGAAAAGAGATTGTTGCAAGCTGTTTTTAGATATAGCTCCCCCCAAAAATGTATGCAAGTATTCATTTAGGGTATATCTACTAAACAGTGTTTTTAAAAAATATATTATTTTGTATTTGGGCAGTGGAGTGTCCTTTAAACCTGAATTAACATGGTACCAGATATAGCATTTTGGTCACATATGGTAAATGTGACACATGGCCGCCTTCAGGGCATGAAAACCATGACAGTTGTCATGGGCCCGTTGGCCCTGGGGGACCGGATTGCTCTGGGAGTTCCGGGCCCCACATTGCCTATGTACACATATATATAGTGATTTTTGCTACATATATGTGTACTTGCGGGCCCCCGGCTACCTGTTTGTTGCAGAGGGGGCCCGCAGCGCTCTCACTTCCCTTCCCAGCAGCTCATTTCAGCCCCCTGTCTAAATCTCGTGAGTCCTGCGGCTGTCAGAGCGTTGCCACATGTTACCATGGCAACGCTCCACAAGGCACGCAGGCCATGAGAGTTAGGCAGCTGCTGGGAAGGGAAGTGAGAGCGCTGCGGGCCCCCTCTGCACAGTCCATGCCACCGGACCACCAGGGAACGCAATCTCCCCCCTCCATGGCCAGGTAAAAAGCAGGGAGGGGGGACTAAAACAAAATGTTCATAAAACATTTTACACACACTACACGAACACACACTGCATTCACTAAACACACACTGCATTCACTAAACACACACCACACACTACACAAACACACACTGCATTCACTAAACACACACTACACAAACACACACTGCATACACTGTACATACACTACACACACTACACAAACACACACTGCATTTACTAAACACACACTACACAAACACACACTGCATTCACTAAACACACACTACACAAACACACACTGCATTCACTGTACACACACGACACAAACACACACACACTACATTCACTATAAACACACTATGCATGCACTACACAAACTCACACTCCACATTCACTATACACACTGAATCTAATACAAACCGCCTTCACTATACACACTCTGCTTTCACTATACACAAACTACATCCACTACACAAATCTACAATCTGCATCCACTATACACACGGCATCCATTACACACACAACACATCCACTTTACAAACACACTCTGCATCCACTACACACATTCTACATCCACTACACACACACACCACAATCAGTACACACACTGCACCCCTGTGGGTGGACTCGTGGGCGGACTCGTAGGCAGGACCCCCAGACCTTGAGCTGTGTCAAGGGCCCCACTTTTTTTGATGGCAGCCCTGCTGTGACATAAATCGGTGAATAAAATGGTAAAAGACCCTGTTTATGGGTATATATAAGAAAACCAATAGCAATATTGTGAATGCAGCCTTTTAAAAGAATGTACGTAGACATGTTTCTGGATTACAGTAAGTACAGTTACAATAAGCAACTTAATTATACAGGACATTGCAGCCTGCTACAACAATGAAAAAAACCAAAACAAAACCACTGTGATATTTAGAAATCAATGCACAATCACATAGCCACATTCACAATCCAGCCATCCACCAATAGTGGGAATGATATCTTCACATTCAGGAAAATATCATTTTATTTATACAATGTGCTGGCAAAATCCCCATTTTATGTATATACTGTATAAAAACGATTTCTCTATAAGGTGACTGTTAAGACACCTCCAGTGTCTTTAGGCAAAACCGCCGTTTAGTAGACCTTCCCTGTCTGCAGTAACAGTAACTCCGTTCGCTTAATCTGTAGTATACGAACCAAATGCAGGGGAAGCGGCAATCTCCCGACCGAGATCCGTGAACGGCTCCAAACTCCCGAACGGCAATACACGAACTGCTGCTAGCCGCCGAACAACAATATTCACCAAGCGGCTTCCGTTCCATCCAGCAGTCTCTAAACGTGAAGAAGAAATCCCCCCAATAACGAGACAGAAGCTCCGCATTGAGGGTCAAACAGGATCTGGCTTTACTGTGGGCTACCTGCCCGTATTTATGCAGGTCTCCCACTTGGTGGACACTCCCCTAGGGGACCAAATGGGAGACTTAAATGACAGACAGATATGGGGACATTCCAGACACACAGTTACAGATTTTACCCACAGTGCATTATGATTCCCTCCCCTCTGCCCTGGAGTTAATTACCAAGTAACTCAATTAACTCCAGGACAAAGCCAGTCGCCATCTTAAATATAAAATCATAAAAGACATAAAAATATATAACTTCACAAAAACTGAACATTTCCCATTCGTATCACATATCCCCAGATAGCCTGGATCTGAGTGCATATTATTAGCGAATAGCGCTCAGATCCCACACACATAGTTCAATCGCCATGGAGTCAAAGTTCTTACAGTCTTTCGGTATACGAATGACTCCATGGGAAGGCTATCTGGGTTAAGTTTTTTCATATGCTCCAAATCTCCCGAACGGCCGGTGTTCGTATGCTTTCGTGGAGGCAGCCAGGCGTTCCAATGTTTCAGCGGTGTTCGGCAGAAAAAGTGTCCGTTTTTAGTTCCATAGAAATAGAGCCAAACACCGCTGGGCTTTTGCTTGGTTTAAAATGGCCACTGCCTTGTGGTCGACATACGAACGACGACCACCCTGAATTCGGTTTAATTGAGAAGTGTCTGCGGTTAACCACAACGTTCTAATTGGGATCAATAGGTTAACCAGCAGCACACTTCTCTCCTGGGTGGCCGTCCGGGAAAAAGAGTCATTCGAATGGCTGGGCTATAAAACCAGCCATTCATACGAACGGGAGACAAACAGACGAATGCAACTAAAATACAAGCAGACAGATGGTTCTGTCACACGGCTCCCTCCTTGTGGGACACTCCGGCAGACCCGGCTTGACCCTGTGGTGGGTCAACTTGGGGATGACCGGACTAAGAGGTGGTGGAAACGTCTGTTTGTCGTGACAACCCATCTGCATTCCCGTTCAGCTTACCGGGTCTGTACCTGATGGTAAAATTGTAGGGCTGTAGTGCCAAGCTCCATCTCAGCAGTCTCCCATTGTCTCCTGAGACCCGGTTAAGCCAAACGAGTGGGTTGTGATCAGTCACGAGGGAAAACTCTTGCCCATACAAATAGGGACTTAACTTTTTCAATGCCTAGACCAAGGCCAAGCATTCCTTCTCCACTGCCGCATAACTCACTTCTCTGGGTAACAACTTTCTGCTGAGATATGCGACAGGGTGCTCTCCTCCATCTTCCCCGACTTGGCTCAGCACAGCCCCCAGTCCATACATGGAAGCATCTGTATGGACGAGAAAGCATTTGTTAGGGACTGGGGCAGCCAAGACAGGGGCATTCACAAGAGCCTGCTTCAGTGCCTGGAACGCAGCTTCACAAGCCGGAGACCACAGGACCTGCTTAGGCAAGTTTTTCTTGGTCAGGTCTGTCAGGGGCTTAGCAATAGCGCTGTAGTCAGGGACAAAATGTCTGTAGTACCCTGCCGTCCCCAAGAAGGCCAATACCTGGGTCTTAGTGGTAGGTGTGGGCCAGTTAGCCACTGCCTCTACCTTGGCTGGCTCTGGTCTCTGGCTCCCACACCCCACTCTGTGACCCAGGTATTGTACTTCAGCCATACCTAGATGGCACTTCTCTGGCTTTAATGTCAGGCCAGCGGGCCGAATTTTATCCAGCACTCCCCCTACATGTACCAGGTGTTCCTCCCAGGACCCACTGTAAATCGCAATGTCGTCCAAGTATGCACAGGCAAATTCTTGGAAGCCATCCAGGAGTCTATCCACCATCCGTTGGAAGGTAGCCTGTGACAGATTCATCTGTATTGCTGGTTCGTCTGTTTCCTTTTGTTCGCTGAATTGCCTGTTCATATAACCCCGTTCGTGTAATTTGCAAACTACCGATTGAAACTACCGAACGAACGACCACCCAGGAGAGGAGTGTGCTGCTGGTTAACCTCTTGGCCCCAATTAGAACGTTGTGGTTAACCGCAGACACCTCTCCATTCCATTCGTACGGGTGGTCGTCGT